GCAAAGAAAGGGACCTCAGGTGGAAAGTCTTTCATCAAAACATTTATTAAATGCCAACTGCACTTGGCCAAGCTGTGTATGGGCTATTAAAAGACTGAAATGCCTGGTTAGAACCAGGAAAACTGTTGTCTTCTGTTCACATTCACAGAACAGCTACTGCTAAAAGGTTGGTACAGTCCTCTGGCCTGCAAATTTCCAGAACAAGATTCTGTTGAACTGGAATAAAAACAGGGATGAGGGCACTGAGCCAAGCCTCCCAGGCAGTGACCTTATAGCATGTTCTTCTGGGTGTCCAAGCTCTTTTGCTCTGAAGACAAATAGGAAACAAAGGCTCTCTTCTGTCTGAGATGAGACATCCAGGTGATGGAAAAGAAAGCCAGAGAGAGGCTGAGGAAAGGGACAGGAATTGCTTTTTATGGACATGGAAGTGAGCTCTGCAATGAAGCCCCTTTGCGTTTAAGAGCATTTTTCTGTTTCCTTTCTTCTTCCTGCAACTTCTGCTGTCTGAGCTGCCATGCCTGTATTCCAGCATCCATTTCCTGTGACAGCAGTACAACTCGTCTCTGAAATAGACAGGAAAACAGTGTGGATAACATCTGGGGCTTGAGCACTGCACTTTATATCCTTTTCTCACAAAGTTAGAGGTTTCAGCTGGAAATTGACACTGCTGACTAGGAAACAAGTGGCACCAAATCCTGGGCTGGGAAACGGAAGGGAGGTAGTGAATGGGAGGCAGAATGCTTACTACTGGTTCCTGACCTAGGAACTCAATTCCTCCCTTCTTACAGTGCTATTAAAATGTTTGGCTTGGGCTGGGGTTGTGGCTCAGTGGTAGAGTGCTTGCCTAGCATGCATAAGGCACTGGGTTTGATCCTCAGTACCACATAAAAATAAATAAATAAATAAAGATATGGTATCCACCTAAAGCTAAAAAAAACTGTTTGGCTCAGCTGATCTGATGTGCACATCTGTAAATCTTAGCTACCTGGGAGGCTGAGGCAGGAGGATCACAATTTTAAGGCCAGCCTTAGCAATTTAGTAAGGCCCTGAGCAACTTAGTGAGACCCTGTTTTTAAATAAGAAGAAGGCTGGAATGAGCTCAATAATACAGCATCCCTGGGTTTAATGCCCAGTCTCCAAAAACAAAAACAAAAAACATAACTGTTGGGCTGGGGATGTGGCTCAAGCAGTAGTGCGCTCGCCTGGCATGCGTGCGGCCTGGGTTCGATCCTCAGCACCACATACAAGCAAAGATGTTGTGTCTGCCAAAAACTGAAAAATAGATATTGAAATTCTCTCTCTCTCTCTCAAAAAAAAAAAAAAAAAAAAAAAAAAAAACATAACTGTCAAAACCTTTGTATATGAGGTACATGTTAGCTTAGGTGCAACACAACCCAAAACATACTACAATTAAAAATTTCTGAGCTGGGCGCAATGGTGCACACCTGTAATCCCAGCAACTCAGGAGGCTGAGGAATTTAGCAACTCAGCCAGACCCTGTCTCTAAATAAAATATAAAAAAGGGCTGGGGATGTGGCTCAGTGGTTAAGCACCCTCGGTTTGATCGCTGGTACCAAAAATTTCTGGGCTGGGGTTGTAGCTCAGTGGTAGAGTGCTTGCCTAGCATGTGTGAGGCACTGGGTTCAATCCTTAGCACCGAACTAAATAAAATAAAGGTACTGTGTCCAAAAAGAACTAAAAAAATAATAATTTCTCCCTCCAATTACAAACAATGTAGCCCCAGTTGAAGCTCTATTCACTCACTGCAAATTCTTCCCTCTGGGTTTTTCTTCGAAGTTGGCCTTTCATTGGGGGAGCAGGGCGGCCATCTACAAATAGAAGAGATAAAAGGCAAGTGCTAGGGGTGGTCTGCAGCACCTTGGCCAAAGACTGTGATAGGGATGACGAAGAGCCAATCTCTACCTCTTCTCTTCTGTTTTACACCCAACGTAGCTTAATTCTTCTAAAATAAGTTCTTCAAACAGAGTGAGGTACCACAGACCTACCAAAAATAAATTCCTAAGCCATGTTCCTACTCTTATTTCATGTACCACTAATTATCCTGGAATTCAAGGTAATTTGCAATGTTTCATCTACTGTTTTATCTTCAGAAACCTTTCATTCAACGTCTTTGTTAAATTCTGTCCCACTCTACAATGAAATGCCCCCTTTCCCTTTCCTTCTAGCTAAGTCCTTATCCTTATCCCTCTAAGACTTCTTCCCACCCCAAATCCTCTCTAACCTCCATCAACTCCATCAGCTCTTTCTGTGTGATACAAGGGATGGAACAGTCTCATGACCTTTCTTTCAGGGTCTCTTCTGAAAGAAGTACATGTCATTTAAGTACATGTCATTCATTTATTTGCCTTGGAATATTTACTTTATTATAGCTTTTAGCATTATTTACCCATTTCAGATACATTTGGAAAGAGACAAAGTACTAAAGTATTATTTAATTTTTAAAATGCCCATGCTTATTTTCCCAGCCAGACTTTAAGTTGCTTGAAATCAGGGACTGTAAAATTAGTTTTTGCCCTTCATAGCATAGTACAGGCACATAAGCACTAATAAAGATTCCATAAAAATATTCAGTCTGAAGTTATAATAGAGATGAGAGGAAAGGATACCTACTTTCTACAAACAAAAAAGTGAAAATTCTGCCCAAAGTTTGAAGCTAAGACAGATAAAAGGCAGTACAAAAAGGGAACAAAGGGCTGGGAATATAACTCAGCGGTAGAGTCTTGCTTAGCATGTGCAAGGCTGTGGGTTCAATCCCTAGTAACCCACTCCCTTCCACAAAAAGGAACCAATATTTTGCAATGTGTGTGTCAAGTGCTTTACACTGGGTTTCATTTTTATCCTTTACAAGAACTATGAATGTGTGTCTGTGTAACTGTATGTATATGTGTATACATATACTTTTTTTTTTTTTTAAAGGAGGGAAACTCAGATTGAGAAGCAGCTATGGGGGCTTAAGGGTGTAGCATAGTGGAGCTGGGATTGTGGCTCAGTGGTAGAGCACTCATCTAGCATGTGCGAGGCCCTGGGTTCGATCCTCAGTACCACATAAAAATAAATAAACAAAATAAAGGTATTGTGTCCAACTACTTCTAAAAAATAAATATTAAAAAAAAAAAAAAAAAAAAAAAAAGGCGTGTAGCATAGTGACAAAGTGTGCACTTAGCATGACAGAGGCCCTGGGATCAATCCCCTGTGTAAGCAAGCATGCTTTCGTGTGTGTACACAGAGTTAGATACATATAATTCCAGTCTTTCAAATATTCCATATTACTAGAAAGAGCCTAGGCTTCCTACTGTAAATGACTAGTGGAAACAAATTTCATCCTCCTCCTCTGAATAGGTATGTGAATAAGCAGGGTCATATTCCTAGAGAGACTAGAGAATCCAATGGGGTGGGGGTGGGGGGCTAGAGATATAGCTCATTGAGAGTGTTTGTTTTGCATGCAGGAAACCCTGGATTCACTCCCCAGCACCACAAAAACAAACAAACAAAAACCAAATCAAAGCTCCAGTAGGGTATTAATACTCAGGTCTCCAAGTTGGGAAGAAGGCCTGGATCCTACTCAGTTGTATTTTTGACTTTGAAACTATATAGGCATTTCATTTCTGTAGGCCTCAATTTTCCTACTGTAAACGTGAAGTCCCATAAAGGAGGTAGGGAGTGGCTTTAACTTCTCTAAGTTCCCACTCTTTTCTTCTGATACTGGTGAGTGAACCTAGGAGCATTCTACCACTGAGCTACATCCTTAGTCTTTTTTGAGACAGACTTGCTAAGTTGCTGAGTCTGGCCTGAAATTTGCAATCCTTCTGCTTCAGCCTCCCAAGTCACTGGGATTACAGGTTGTGTTTTGGGCCTGGCTAGGCAAGTTCCTCTCTTTTGGAGCTTTTTAAGTAAAGAGAAAAGATTTTTCTGAAGGAAGCCTGCCGTCCTCAATCATTACTCTTCTACCCCTCTGAGATACTCCTTTCCACAGCTTTTCAAAGTTCTTCCTGCATTTGGTACCAAATTCTCAAAATGCATTCACCACACAGAAGGGTGGTTCTTCCTAACTACTTAAAAATCATGTTCCCTTTGAGAAAGGGGAACGATTTCTCACCCCCTTCAACCCCAGGGCGGTTTAAGTTAGAATTTTTTTTTTAAACATTTTTTTTTTAGGTGCAGATGGACACATCACAATACCTTTATTTTTATGTGGTGCTGAGGATCGAACCTGGGTCCCGCGCGTGCTAGGCGAGTGCTCTACCCCTGAGCCACAATCCCAGCCCTTAAGTTAGAATTAACTTGTTTATCTTCACTAGCCAAGATCCTGTCTAGCTTTACCTTCCGTAGTAGTAGTTTAACTGACAAAATAAAGGAGAGCTTTTTCACTCCAACTCCATTTTCCAAATAAAAAAAAATTCGATTCGTTTTCCACTCAGTCACTCCCCCGCCTGGACACCACTCCCCAACCGGCTCCAGGGGCGGTTCCTCTAAGTGAAATATCTCTGAAGAAAACTGTTGGACGGACACTCACCCGCGTAAGACCAGTCTGGAAGCTCCGTGAGGGGCCCGTAGCCGGAAGGATTGGCAGCCAGGCCCTGTCTGGGTAAAAACAAACAGTCGCGTGAGGTCTAGGACCAGCTTCTTGCCCCCCTGGTCCCCCCATCCCAGCACTTACTGGAGTCTCCACTGGCTGCCAGCCAGAGCCGACACGCTGCAGTGTAGCCTCCGGACACCTACTAGGAAAACAAGACAGAGTCAGAGAGGACGCTGAGCCCGCCCTAGGGGTCCAGCGCACACCTCACCGGGTCCCGAGTCTACATAGCCTACGCCAACTCACTGGAGAGCAGGGTCCCCGAAGCAGCCATGTCTGTGACGGAGGAGCCGGAAGTGGGCGTGGCCTCGGAGGCAAAGCGCGTTGCTGAGTGGGGGGAGCCGGAAGCCGCCATCTTGAATCTGGTTTTCGATCAAGGACTCCGCCATCTTGGGTCATCGTACGGAACTGAAGAGCAAGTAGGGCCTGGGTCTTTGGGGCGAAAAGGAGCTGTCATCTTGAGCATGTGTCTTCAGTGGAAGTGGTGATATCCCCGACTGAACGGTTCTGAATTGTTCCCATGACTTTCCCACAGCGGTCTCTAATATTTTGAAATTTACAGTAACTTTTATCTCAGAGTAACCTCCATGTTACCTCATTCTACAGTCTCCCGCCTCACTGCATTTTCCCCAGACTAAATGGCTAAGTCTAGAGTGAATGAGAAAATTTTAAGATCGCATGCATTTATCCAACAAAACTGAAGAAATTCTATGTGACAAGCGCTGTAATAGGTGCAGAAGATTCTATGGAGAGCAAGAGCAGATATCATCACTATTCTGATAGACCTTTTGGTCCCTCGGAGAGAAGACAATCATATACGTGACTAATGTTACAGCTGAGTCCTGGGAAGGGAAGTATGTCTTTTTTTTGCCAGCATATATATTGGGAATGTGATCTAGAGTGCACTGTCAAAGACTCTTGAGAAAGCTGTGTTGGAGCTAAGAGTTGATGTCATTTTTATAAGAGCTACCACAACACATTCCCTAATATAACTCTTGCAAGAACCTTCTGAGGTAAGTACAGGTTGAGCATCCCTAAACTGAAAACCTTAAATCCAAAATGATCCACAATCAGAACTTTTTGAGCACTGACAGTGCTATAAGTGGAAAATGCAATACCTAAACTCGTGAGGTGTTGCACTCAAAATACAGGCCAACTAAAAATATTGTACAAAATTACCTCCAGGGAAGCTGGAGGTGTAGCTCAGTAGTAGAGGAGGTGCTTAGTGCTCAGAACCTAGGTTCATCCACAGCACCAGAAAAAAAATAATTAATTTCAGGCTATGTGTTAAGGTCTAAAATATTTTCATGTTTAGTTTTGGGTTGTATTCCCAAGATATTATGTATGTGCAAGTGTTCCAAAATATGAAAAATATATAAAAATTTAGCTGGGCATGGTGGCACATGCCTGTAATTTCAGCAGCTGGGAAGGCTGAGGTAGGAGGATCACATGTATGATGCCAGTGTTTAGGATTCATAAGAAAGATGATGGACTCATACTGCTGTCTATACTATATAAAGGAATTGAACCAACAATATTATTTTTTAGTAGTGTACATATGAGGAGGACACCATTAATTTCCAAAATCATTGGAAAGGCCACAAATGTTCAGGTGAACAATAATGTGTATGATATGAATGTTACATGCAAAAGTGGACCTGTGCAGTCATGAAGCAATTCAGCAAGATTGGAAGCAACTTAACTTGAAAAAAAAAAAATGTGCTAGGGATGCTGCTCAGTGGGAAAACATTCCTAGGTTCAATCCCTGTAGAATAAAAATAACATAATAATATAAAATAAGAAATTTGAGACACTTCTGATACCACACATTTCCAATAAAGGAAAGTAAATGTAGATAGTAAAGCCAGATCTGTGACTCTTGCCCTGCTCTTTATTACTTGCTATTTAATACTGTTGTGGAAAAAGTTGTTTACCCTTAATTTTTTTTTCCTTTCTTTTTCCCTTTTGTAGTATTGAGGATTGAACTTAGGGGTACTTTGTCTCTTCCACTGAGCTACACTCCCAGCCCTTTTTAAAATTTTGAGGCAGGGTCTCACCAAATTGCCAAAGCTGGCCCCGAACTTGGGATCCTCCTGCTTAAGTCTCCCCATTAGCTGGAATTATAGTAGTGCATCACCATACCCAGATATTCTTAATTTCTTTTCTTTTTGGTACTGGGGATTGAACTTAAGAATGCTTAACAAGTGAGCCACATCCCCAGCCCTTTTTTATTTTTGAGACAGGGTCTTATTAAGTTGTTTAGAGTATTGCTAAATTGCTGAGATTGGCCTTGAACTTTTTATCCTCCTGCCTCAGCCTCTCAGGTCGCTGAGATTATAGGCATGTGCCACCATGCCTGGCTATCCTTGATTTCTTAATTAGAAACATATCACACTTTAAAACAAAATTTTAAATAGTTTTTAGTTGTTGATGGACCTTTATTTTATTTACTTATTTATATGCGGTGCTGAGAATTGAACCCACTGCTGCACATGTGTGAGGCAAGTGCTCTACTGCTAAGCTACAACTTCAGCCCCAAAACATATCACATTTTTGAAAACATTTTAAGGTGATAACATAAGTGAAATACTTTATGGTGAAGCTCCTACAAACATGCCCATTACTGTGTGCTGGGCTAGACACTTAAACACATGCTGATTAGGGGAACCTGAGGGAGTGGTGTAATGGCCTATCTGGAAGTTTATCATTTCCTTGGCAAGACTGGGAAGTTTTTCCACAGGAGGTGGCTCTGAGTTGTGCTTTGAAAGAGGGGAAGGGTGGATCCTGGTTTAAGAGGTAAAAGCAACTATTTTGATAACAATAAGAATGGTATAGACTAGAGCTAAATAAGAAGAAGGGATGGAACAAAAGAAACTTGGCTAGAAGCCATCAGATGGATTCGCACTCCCGTCCCCATAAGTAAGCGAAATAAATGTAGAGTACCATAACCATCTTACATTCATATACTACTTTTAAAATTTTTTTCTTTTGCAATTCTGGGAATAAACCCAGGGCCTTACACATGCTAGCTAAGATCTACCACTGAACTATGCTGTATATACTTTAGCCCCATTTACTTAATTTTTATTTATCAAAATATTTCTGCACAAAACCAGGCACGGTGATGCATGCCTGTAATCCCAGGGGTTTGGGAGGCTGAGATAGGAGGATTGAGAATTCAAAGCCAGCCTCAACAATGGCAAGGTGCTTAGCAACTCAGTGAGACCCTGTCTCTAAATAAAATACAAAATAGGGCTGGGGATGTGGCTCAGTGGTTAAGTGCCCCTGACTTCAATCCCCGGTACCAAAAAAAAAAAAAAATATATATATATATATATATATATATATACACACATATATACACACATACATAAATGATTTCATAATAAAACTGTAAGGTAGTTAAGATAGTCCAGGAAACAGTTATTGTACAGATTTTACAGTTTTCAGGGATCAGTAAATTGAACCAAAATGTGACTATTGGACTGGGGATGTAGCTCAATGGTAGAGTAAGAGCCAGCCCTACCAAAAAAGAAAGAAAGAAAGAAAAATGGCTGTGGATTTATTGTTTGTTTTACATTTAGTGACAGAATAAAGACTGAGTGACACTGTTCCCTTACTTGGCTTTTTGAGCCTTTGACTGGTCCTGAGGAGAGCACTGGAATCTCACAGTTGAGGGAATCAAGTAGAAGCCAAAGGCTTGAAGAATAACCTAAGAGTCAGTGTTTAGGATTCATAAGAAAGATGATGGACTCATACTGCTATCTATACTATATATAGGAATTGAACCAACAATATTATTTTTTAGTAGTGCATATATGAGGAGGACACCATTAATTTGCAAAATCATTGGAAAGGGCACAAATGTTCAGATGAACAATAATGTGTATGATTTGAATGTTACATGCAAAAGTGGACCTGTGCAGTCATTCAATAGCTGTGAAAGTCAAAGAGCAAGAGCTGGAGGGTAGGAATGGGGGTAAGAATGGGAAGTTTGAGCAGAACTAGAAAATCTGGGAAGGAGGATATTTAGAAGGAAGACAACTTTAGCCTTTGACGTGGTTAGTATGATGTGGTAGGGGGACAATCCACTGGTTGAAAATGGCAGGAAACATGGGTTAGGATTTTGGGAGAGAGACAGAGAACATGGAGCACTGACAGTTAACATCATCAGCATTCTCGGGACCTCATGGAATGCTATTGACTGGGAGGAGGTCTGGCACCTGGACAGCACTCTTCAGTGACTTCATCAGCCTCATAAACCACAGGAAAGCAGCTTTGTCATCCCAAACTGGATATCCTTTATCCTCTGTACTTCATCTGACAAAGACTGGAGTTAAGAGTGATGTGAAGCACCCGGAGTCTGAGCTTTATGTTTTCCCTCTCTTAAATTCCTTTGCTTTTCAAAGACATCATGCCTCATATTTGGCTTTAGCATTTTTGTAATCCACTTGTATTTGTGTCTAATATATTTATTCAGATATCCCTGTAGAGTTGTATACAGTTACTTGTAGTCCCCTCACCCCCCGAACTAGCCCTTTTTTATTTTTGAAATGGTTTCAGTAGGTTGTTCAGAGCTTCACTAAGTTGCTGAGGCTGGCCTCAAGCTTGCAATCCTACTTCAGTCTGCTGAGTCGCTGGGATTACAAGTGTGTGCCTCTGCACCTGACAAATTAGGTGCTTTTTTAACAGCTGCGATGAGTTATAATGATACTGAGAAGGAACATAAATAAGTGAGCTGACTTTGGTAGCCAACTCCACCTTATTGTGCAACAATATTTTTGCATGTGTATGACAGAATTCTAAGATTGAAGAAGTTGTGGAGAGAAGGGGAAACTGGGAATTCTTTCAGTATTTTCCTTTTTAGGACAGCTCAAAGATCAAATCACTGTCATCTTGTGCAAAAAATTTGGGAACTGAAGGCTTTAAACAACACATCCTTACAATACAATGCTTTGCATAGTATTTCCTTATTACTTACATAATTTATTGTAACATATTTCTCTTCTTTTCCAGAGCTGTCAAATCAGTATTGGCTAGCCGGGTGTGGTGATGCACACCTGTAATCCCAATGGCTTGGGAGGCTGAGGCACGAGGATCATAAGTTCAAAGCCAGCCTCAGCAACTCAACAGCTTAGTGAGACCCTAAGCAACTCAGGGTCTCTAAATAAAATACAAAAAAAAAAAAAAAAGATGTGGCTCAGTGGTTAATTGCCCCTGGGTTCAATCCCCAGTACCAATAAATAAATAAATAAATCAGTACTGGCTAAATATTGCATGCAGGAGACCCTGTATTCAATGCCCAGTAAAACACACACACACACAGTCTATAATAAAAGACCTAACTTCAAGAGGAGTCATTTACGACCTTCAGCTACATTCTCTTCTTCCTGACAACTGGGAAGTCCCTTTTAGAAAGGCCAAGCCTGGCAGATATGGTGGCATATGCCTGTAATCACAGCTATTTGGGAGGCTGAGGCAGGAGGATCACAAATTCCAGGCAGGCCTCAGCAACTTAGTGAGACCCTGTCTTAAAATAAAAAATAAAAGTGAAAAGGTGTAGGGATGCTGGGCATGGTGGTGCAATCTGTAATTCTAGCAACTCCGGAAGGTGAGGCAGGAGGATTCTAAGTTAAAGATCAACCTCATCAATTTAGCAAGGCCCTAAGGACTTAGCCAGCCCCTGTCTCAAAATAAAAATTTAAAAAGGGCTGGGGATGTTGTTTAGTGGTTAAGCACTCCTGGGTTCAATCCCAGGTACCAAAAAAAAAAAAAAAAAAGGGTAGGGATGTGAACTCAGTGGTAGAGTGCCCCTGGTTTTAATTCCCAGTTCTGCAAACAACATAAAAGAAGAAATGTTAAACCACCATTTGACCCAGCTAGCCCTCTCCTTGCTCTATATCCAAAGAACTTAAAATCAGCATACTATAGTGATGCAGCCACATCAATGTTTATAGCAGCTCAATTCACAATAGCTAAACTATGGAACCAATCTAGGTGCCCTTCAACAGAT